CCTCCTTCAACGCCCCCATGGGCCACAAACGCATCCGCGTGCTGAACTGAGCAGGTTTATAGTGTGTAGTGTCTCTCAATCTTTCTGATTTGCCTTCGGATCCGTGGAGGGCCGCCTTACACGGCAGCCGTTCGCCACCTAGGAAACGGACCGAGATTTGAGGTCGGCAGCTTTCTGGGTTTTTGCAACCTTTGCACCAGTTTGCAGTTTTTGCATTTGCGTGTATTTGCGTTTGCACCTTTTGCATTTTGCAACTTTTTGCAGCGGAGTGAGCTTTTGCTAAGTTTTGCGTAGATTTTTGCTTTTATTTGCGCTGGACCTTTCATTTCAGAGAGATGGCTCGCATGTGTTTCGTGCCCTGAGGCCCATCCCCTCATGTTATTGCCGAAAAAATGGCGGCAAAGATGACAGTCGAGGAAATTGCGAGCGTCGGCTTGTGGCAGTCGCTCGGCTTGTCGGGGCTTCTCTCCACTCCACTGCTGCAGGCGTTGCCGCAAGAGACCCGCGCGGCTGTAGGCCGTCTCATCCGCGGCTGCCTCAGATGCGTTTAGGGATGTGTAGCTACGACTCTAGTCTCAAACCCCTCCAGGTCCGACAATGGACGCAGACGCGAAGAAGAAGGCCGTGGGTTTGGAGTGTGTGTGTGTGTGTGTGTATGTTAAGTGTGTCTCCGTGTGTGTGAGACCGCTTGGACTACTGCAGCGGCTGCCAGGTCCACAACCCGTGCTGCGTCTGCGGCCGCCCTAGCCTGGCACTCCTTAAGGGAGAAGCGCAGGTCCGGGCGGCCGCAGAGGCGAAGTGGAAGACGAAGCCAGGGCCTTGAAGGTCTGTGCGCTGGGAAACCTAGTGTTTGTGCAATTGGCGAGGACCGGGCTACCCCTTGCAGTGGGCATGGAGCTGTGCGACACGCGCTGGTCGGCCCTCTCAAGGAAGGCCTTCTGTGGGACGGTTGTGTTAGGACGGTTGTGCAAAGCTTCAGGCTTCTGGGTTGTCCGACTTACGTCTCCGTTTGTATCCATGATCCATAGCAATCCGTTTCTCCAAAAGCTACTCGTCTCAAACGTGTACTAGGGGGCTAGACATAAACCCAGAGCGCACGAACGGGCTGTCATGTTCTGCTGGATATATGGGGTGTGGTGGGGCTCACTTAGGATGTACATGCCGCTACGTCCCCTCAACATCAGGAAGCTGGGGCGAAGACTAGAGGGCTGGGGGTCACACTGACAATTCGGGCAAGCTTTCATGAACACTACATCCTAGAGCCATGGTATACTGGGCCAGTGGTGATGTGTGGGAAGTTCTTTCCAGCACATGTGTGTTGCAACGCGCCTAGATTTCAGACTCCCTCGGGGCTAGCGGATAATAGCCCTAAGCAGGTGCAACTTTAGCGACCGTGTGCTTTTTTGGAGAGATTCATGTGGTAGTTTTCAGAAATAGGCGGGCCTACATCCTAAACCCTCAACGCTGAACCATAAATCCTGCGTCTTAAATCCCGAGCCCAAGACGCTATAAGTCCTAAATCCCAAGGCCTAAGTCCTCAACAATGAATCCTAAATCCTACATCTTAAGCCCCACATGCTTGGGAAGGACTGGGAGGTGCAGCGAAGTAGCATGTCCATAGGGACTACTTAGTCAGAGGTTAGTACTGGGCATGCGTGGGCTTCTGATCTGCCTCACGCCCCAAACCCTTACCTGATAGCTTGTTAACCGCTAGCCCTGAACCCCACACTGTCCGGCCCGCTATGACAGGTGACGGCAGGCAAAAGGAAGCGTGAGGCGCGCTGGCTCTGTGTTCGTGAGCTGTCGAATCGAAATCGCGCCGCTTGAGGCCTCCGCTGCAGAGGAGAACGTCGCCGAGTGAGCAGCGTGACCACAGCGCAGCACGTGCAGATGTGCTATAAAAACAAGTGAAGACAACAGGCCGTGTGTCTTTGACTTTGATGCCAGACTTGCCAGCAGCAAGGGGTACCCTATACTATTGAAAGCCATGCTGTTCTGCTCTGCTGGAGGTCGGGTTTTGGGTCGCCGTCCGTGAAACCAAGAAAACAATGGGTTTTTCAAACGCTAAGGGTTTAGGGGTTTGGGGCTTTCGGGGTTATAGGGTGTGCAGGCGAGGTCGCACGCTTGGGTATGAAACGCCCCTGGCCGCGCTTGCGTTGCTTGTTGGCCCACGCCATCCAGCCACACTACACTCAATAGGGTTTAACACTTCCTGCGCGCGTCAACTGGACGTTCTTGGATGTGGCAGAAGCTTCGCTTGAGACAGTTTGATGGACTCCTTATGGAGGCTGTAGCTGCTTGGTGTTCAACTGTGCTCATGGTTCCGTTGCTGAAAGAAAATCCACGTCCTGACAACTGGGGGTGAAGTATGTTGAAAAGAGATGGCGCGAGGCTTGCTCGTGAATGCGACTTGTGGGTTGGTAAGGGGCACTGGAGGCTGGCGTGAGGTCTCGCCTGGAGACATGGTCTCCTGGAAGGTCGTCCGATGGTCTCCCTGCCTAAATGTCCTATGTTCTAAAGACCTGTCTCGTCTACGTCTGTCAGTCCTTCTGCTCCAAGAGATGGCGGCCCCACGCAGGCCGTGTCAGGTTTGCAGGCTGCTACGTGTGTACAAAACTGTGCGGACACGGTCGCGCCGTGCCGTCTTGGCTCGAGAGCAGGCCGACGTAGTGCAATTCAATTCGAGAAAAGGCTTCATCGGCTTCATCCCGCTATCAGTGACATGCCTCTGCAGGAGACAGCGGAGCAGCGTCACGATCGGCGTTCTGCCATCAAGACCATATGCAGGTTGAGCGCAGCTCTCGAGCATCCTGACCAGCTAAGCAGAGATGCCGGAGGTGCGATCCTGGCGGAGCGCGTGACGCAGCTTCGGGAGGCCGCTTGGCTTGTGTTGGGCGTATTTTAAGCTGGGCAGAAGTGTATAGTTGCGCCCAGTAGTAGTTTTGCGTCGGGCAGCGGGGTTTGCCGCTGAGGTGTTAGAAGGTGAAGAACTCCAGATCCTCAACGATGCGGTTTCCATGTATGAGCGCACGGTTGGAAGAAGCTTGGAGGTTCAGCGGCTGCGCCCGCGGTCGTGGTGGAGGCCCAGGGCAGCCTCACAGCAGTTGACCTTCAACCACGGCCCGTGGAGATCTCAGACTGCCAGCACAGACGACTGGTTTGCGTCTGAGGGCGTTCTGCTGGTCGGCCGCTTCCAGCGTTGGGCTCTGGAAGCCTTGCCTGAGAGATTCCGTGAGACGATGGTCCATGTCTCTCTGACGCTGGAAGAGTCCTGCCATGCTGCGGAGAATGTCAAGCGTGTTCATCTGCGCGCGCAACTGACATTCCGTCGAAGGATTGACCGCACCTCCGTGGTCGACTTTGTGTTTGAGGGTGTGCGGCCGCATGTTGCCACTAGGTCTTATTCAGAACCTTCTCAGTCGGCTGTGCAATCTCACTTGTGCATCATGTTTGGCCTTGTAGGGACCACGTTGCTCCTGTTTGCGACGCTGCTACTTCAGGAGATGAACAAAGCCAGAGGTGCCCACGTGCAGGTCTCTCGCAGGCCCTTCCTAGACTACGAGGTGCAGCCGTTCTGGCTCATGGGCTGGTGGGCCGGCTCATGGGCTGGTGGGCCACAGGAAAACTTAGCAACAAGCGATACAAGGGCTACTTGCTCAAGTGCAAAAAGTCCTACCGCGGTTTGCTGCAGAACTTTGAGGCGGTGGTTCAGTCGGAGAAGGCCTTGCAGCTGGACGAGTAGCGCGACAGCGTCGTTCGCCTCCTTGCCGCTGCTCGCCTGCCCTTTCGACGTCCGACGGATCCGTCGCTTGGCTAGCAGGAAGGTGCCGGCCCTGGCTGTGTTCCTTGTCCGCCCGCCGTGCCGTCTTGCCCTGCGCTGAGGCTGTTTCCATTGCTCCCCACCTTCCTGGACCAGTTCACGTGGGCTAAAGACAGGTACTGCCGCTACGCGCTGCAGGGCCCATCGCAGGCGGCGAAAACTTCCTTCGTAAAGTCCTTGTTCAAGACGCCGTTTGTCGTGACCATCCAAGGCCAGGATGTTCTGAACTTGCAGGGTTTCCGGTATGGACACCATGATGCGCTCGTGCTCGATAACTTGGTCGAATGGTCCTTCGTGCTCAAGTTTCGCGCTCTGCTCCAGGCCAATGTGGACATGCACATGCTGGGCGAGTCTGCCGCAGGCATCTACAGCTACAGCGTCTTCCTCTGGGCGGTCCCCGTTTGCATCACGCTCGATTCCGACGTGGACTGTGCACCATTTGAGGCTTCAAACTGGTTACAGACAAATGTCTTCAGGGACGTACTTCCGCCGGGAGCCAAGTGCTACTTGGAGGGAGACAAGCCGGAAAGGACCTTTCTCAGCACGTCACCCTCTGGGGGCAGGGCGGGGTATAATACTGCGGGTTGTGGGCCGGTCCCCCCTTCCCCTGGTATTAATTAACCTATTGTAATTGCCCAAAGGGTGAATCTGTCCCTGCCACTGCGGTTCCCGTCGGTTTCCGCGCCTTTCGTGGAGGTTTCTGATGGGTTTCCCATGGGTTTCCTGTGGGTTTCCTATGGGTTTCCTATGGGTTTCCTATGGGTTTCCTATGGGTTTACTATGGGTTTCCTATGGGTTTCCTATGGGTTTCCTATGGGTTTACTATGGGTTTCCTATGGGTTTCCTCTGAGGTTCTTCTGGGTTTCCTATGAGTTTCCTCCGGCGGGTTTCCTATGAATTTCCTACGGGTTTCCTAAGGGTTTTCCGTGGGTTTCCTGCGGTTTCCTGCGGGTTTCCCATGTGTCGCATGGGTTTCCTCTGAGTTTCCTTAGGTGACCCACCGGTTTCCATGCCCGCGAGTCGGGTTTCGTAAGTTTCTATTGCGCGCACTGCTGTCCACTGCACATCTTCTGCAGCATCTCAAACTTTCAGCGCTCGTGTAGCTCTCTTGCAACCAGCTTTGCCTCCAGAGTGTCAGGTTGGAAGCCCAGCGTATGTTCGTACTCTGCATCTCGCTAAGGTGGTCACGGCGCCGAAACGTGCTCGTGCCCAGGCGGAGAAGGTAGCTTTCGGTTTGTCTGCTATTTATGCTGCGCCGCGGCAGGTTCTGGCCCAGGAACTCGACGACCTGAAGCGCCGTCGCGTGCAGATGCGGGCAGACAATCGTGCCTTGGCGCAGCAGGAGAAGAACCTCAAGAAGCGTCGGGCCCGTCTCATGCAGGCTTGTTTGGCGCGCAGCACTTCTAGTCTCTGCAGTTTTGGTGAAACACATCTTTTGCAGGCGGCGCGCCAGCTCAGTGACGATGACCTTCTCGTCTTGCTGCGTCAGCCGCCAGGCGACCCTGCTCTATAGAGTGACGTGCTCGCGGCGGTCACGTAAGCCGTACAGAAAGCAGGCAATCCGCCGCCGGCAGTCCCGGCGCCACCCCATGCAGCTGAAGGTGCCACGCCGGGGTCTGTGCCCTGGTCAGGTGGTGCATGTGCCGAGGTGTCCCTCACGTGGTCGTTGCTGCTCCTTTGGAGCGCGTGGAAGGCGCGAGAAAGGCGGGGGGACGCGTTGGTGCCGCCGCCTGTCTGCTTAGGCCCAGGCCCCGCCGTGGCCGCTCCTGTGGATCGTCCTGAAGGCGGGAAGTTGTTATCCTGCTCCTCTTGCTTCTTCGTGTTGTCTGCAGAAGACTCATGCCTGTGCTTGCAGGCGATGCTGGAGATGTTCCGGCTGAGGAGGGCCGTGCGCGCCCCAAAACGAGTGGCCGGTCTCGTGTGCGCCTGCCTTTTCCGTCCGAGTGCAAACTATATCTCAGGTGAGGAGATCGAGTCTAGATTGCTGCAGGCGAGGCAGCAGGCCTCAAGCAGTGCCGCAGAGGTGCGCCTGCATTCTTGTCTCCTGCCTGCGGCCAGATCCTGGGGACGGTGACCGTGCCCGTGGGTCAGGCGTGCCTTTCCGCCCGGGCAGCAGTCGTGTGTTGTGAGTCGTGCGCAGGAGAGGCTGCGATCTCCAGCTCCGAGTGAGGGCGCGCACTGCGCGCAAATGGTGGCAAAGACGGGTTCATTTCAGGGGCTGCAAGAGCAGGTGACTGTGTGGCCGTCTTGGCAGGCCCTGTGTGGTATTATGCATCTGGCATTAATTTTTCAATATTCGCAACCAAATTTATTTGGAACAGGTTTGGAGGGTACGTGGTGGGAGGTATCTTCCACTTTAAAAATGCAGAAATGTAACCGTACAATGTTGGAAAGCCTCTCGGCCCTACGCATGTACGCTAACCCGAAGCCTCCTAAAACCTGAAGGTAAAACAGCGTACAGGGTGTTCACAAAACGACCACTTCGTACATGAAGATTCTCTTAATCTACAAAAAAAGGTTGCTTCGGAGAAAGGATTCACTACAGACAGGTTTTTCCATTGTGGGGAATGGGTTTCTTCGGGAACAAATTTTGAGATTGTGTACTCTCAACGCTTTCGCTCAACGTAGATGCCATCATGCAAATTTACATGATGCTTCCCTGCATGGCTCTTGACTCGTTTTTTCTCCCTGTTTGTTGACTCTTGCTGCCTGTTTTCCCGACCTGTGCTATCCTGATTACCGACTCTCATGGTCTCTTTCCGACAGTTGCTTCGCAACTTTGACAACACCAACAGATGAAATTAGCTGGCTTTTCACTGCCTATCCGGCTGCACGAGATCCTGTCTGAGTTTTCCAAACCGACAATAGCGTGCAACGCAGCACTTGCAGCGCTAACGTCACATCGAGTATCATGCATTCTCTCAAGCATCCAACAAAGGTCACCATTGGAAGTTCTCATCTTGTTCATACAAAGGACCAAGCCTTCCATTTGCTTTGTGCTTGTTTTAACGTGTGAAAGCTAGCTGGCGTCCACATCCATGGAATCTTTGTTGCTGATCTGGGGCTGACACTGTTCGCGGCATTGAACTCGCAGAACGTTCATAGTGGCAGATTGCACTCTGGGGGCCCAGCAATCGGACATCATTGCATACGTCACACTCATCAAGTTCTGCGGATAATGTTGACCATTTTTGATTCTTGTAGTCTCGAGGATGGTGCGTGTCATCATTGCAGTTCGGGCATGCTGCCATCAGCACTATGCAGTTGCTGGGGGGAATCCATTCGCCATGCGGTGCAGCCTACTTTGAGCTGGCGTTGGAGCCAGCAGCATCTGCAAAATGTGTTATGCACCAGCGTTGCATGTTGTTTCACAGCTGATGTGAGAATCTACTTGACTGGCATTTCAAGACTTGGCAGCCAAACTTGTGCTCTTTTTATACATGTGTTCGACCCACTCCTAAAGACATCACCTTAATTAAGTCAACGGGGCCATGTGGGTTTTATTGTCTGGGTTGTTAGGCTTAACGTGTTTTTGTTTGATTCAGCTTGAAATTGGTGATGCGTATGTGTTTGGTACCCGCTTGTTGAAGGCATGCTCCGAGGGTCTTCCACTTTTCATCCGCCTGCCTGCCATATAGTGAGGGAAATGGGTCTGGAGACCAGCGTAAAACCGTTGTTTTGTTGCAGAAAACGGTAACCATAGAGGGTTGGCAAATGTATCCTAGCCCGCGAAAACACTTGAGCAGTTGGATGTGACGATGATTTATTTTTTTTCCTTCTGGCATGACTCTGATTTGCAATGCGTTGCAAGGGAATCACAGGTAGTCTGTTGGACAAGGTGCCAAGTAGCTGTTAGCAAAAGGTTGGCTGGATCTAGAAGCATGTGGATAGCATCCTCTTTTCGCTTGCATCTGATCAAAATGTCTTAGGCAATCGTGCCAACTTCCTCAAATTTAGAGTGCGGTTTGGTGCTTGCTATCATGTGCAGCTTCGATTTGGACTTGCGCATTGTTTGGTCCATGGCTCAAGCAAGCTTTACATGACATATTTTCATACAGGTGCGTGACGGCCATTGACCAAGCTTTTACGTCTCCCACCGTTGGTTTCACATGCCTACTTAAACAGAGCGCACTTACTTCCTCAGGTACCGAATGTTCGGCTGTTGCAGCTAGCTTGCATTACCCTTTGTCCTATGTCTTTCCTTGATATGCTATGATCACAGTGTTTGAGAGGTCAAGCGCACGGCGACAACCAGGTATCAAGCAGATGTGACCCAAGTTGCGTATCAACGCTCCAGTGATTGGCCTGTCATGAACAGTGCTCGCAGGCGGAGGTTGTGCATGCTCACGTCCCCGATCCTGGTGTGAAGGAAACATGCCGTGCATGGATAGCAACCTTGGATGCCTGCATGGTGAATTTTGTGATGCTGTTTGTTCTTGCCTTGCTCGGCAAGGATGGTAATCAAATCGAGCAACGTCCTTGCCACACGTGACCTGTGCGATTTAGAATCCTTTAGAAATGTGCGTCCTCCCGACTCTGTAACTGATCGACAGATTCAGTGAGTGAGGTATCCGAACGGATCCACTTACACTGGTGAGTGGCTTGGGGCGCATAGACATGGCCATGGCACACAGGCCAGAAAAGCCCAATTTGTATGTATTCCTTTTCGTGCATTTGGCATGTTCAAGCAGGTCTGGCCAGACGGTGCTCGATACGAAGGCAATTACTAGTGTTACCGTTGCGGCGGTTGGGGTGCCCTTTCCTGATACAAAAGGCATGTGAATGTTAGATTGGCAGTGAACTTGCTGAAGGCCGATGGGCAAATGACAAAGCTCACGGCTGGGGAAGATTTGAGCACACAGATGGCGACATTTACGAAGGAAATTGGTTGAATGACAAAGCTCACGGCCAAGGAGCCTGGACATAAATCCCTTTGACAAGTGATTGTTGGATGAACTTCCTTCACATGTTTGCTTGCCTCGGAAGCCGAGGAACTTACACCCACGCCAGCGGCTCCAAGTTTAGCGGGGAATGGAGAGCAAACTGCCCAGATTTTGGGTTGGGACACATGGATGTGGGGTCCTTTTGATGCAACGTAGTTGCAGTGATCCCTCGAACCCTTTGAAGGATGACAAGCAGCATGGCTTTGGTGAAGAGACGTGGCCCGATGGAGCCCGGTATGTCCAAAGCCCATTCAGTATGTCATGGAGTAGCCCTAGTGACACCAGTTAGATCTGAGGATGCAAGATGTGCGCACACCTTGTTCCTGTGCACGATTGTGTGGATTCAGGTCGGAGACTACAAGAACGGTCTCAAGTGCTGCTCTTGGGTTAGCCATGACGGTTGCTTTGTACAGTTCTGCATGCTGAGGTCTGGGCGAGGTGATTTTACTTGGGCTGACGGGTCCAGTTATTCAGGCCTTGGAAGTCTGCTGTACTGTGAGATTGCATGTGAAATGTCCTGGTTTGCCAGGACAGTTCCATGAGAATGAGACTTGCCAGCAATCCTTTTTTGCCAGCTCCGAGCTTCATTCTATGGTTTTGCGATGCCACGCCGATTCCCAATGCGCGTTCGCTACTGAGGACATTCATGGCGAAGGCAAATACAGTTGGGAAGATGGACGTGTCTACGAGGGTCAGTGGGACAAGAACAGAATGCACGGTGTAGGGAAGTTCCGGTGGGCCGACGGACGAATCTATGAGGGAGGCTGCCAAGCTGCACTTGACCCCGAAACGAAACCACCTCATGCGTATGTCTGTGGGATCCCAATCAGATCATGGATCTCCTGACTTGGCACCAAAACTGCAGCATTCCTTCAACAAGTAATCTGCTTGTCCAGTGTATGCTTGACCCCGAGTCTGTTAGCCATGCTCGACGCAAGGCTACGTCAACGACCAGAAAGAGGGCCGGGGTAAATTTTCTTGGCCTGATGGGCGCTCTTATGAGGGGCAGTGGGCAGAAGGCAAGCAGCATCTTGTCTGGAAAAGAAGAAGGCCGTTTGTGTGTGTGTGTGTACCCAGGCATCTACTGTTTCATCATAATATGACCTTGCAAGAAAGAGAGGTCTGAGGTTGGTGCTGCTGGATGAGCCCCTTTGCATGGTGCTCATGCTTGACAAGCATAAGGCATGGCAGCGGCGTTTTCACCAACCAGAAGGGTGAGAGGAAAGTGGGTGAGTGGCTGAACGGCAAGCGGCAGAACTGATGCCGGGTTGACTAAGTCCACAATGCCCTCTCACAGCAGCAAATCCATCACACCTTGAATGTTGAATGTGGCCGCTTGCCATGTTTTTCGTCGAACGCTGACCACATTTCATTCTGGACCCGACATACCACAAAAGCTAAATCTTGCTAAGTGTACGTACTATCAAGATCTATGAATATGACGTTTGCAGCATGAAGCTGTTGCACACACTGTGTAAGTTTATGCTTTGCCCAAAGAGGCAACTGTGAAAGCATTCTGCCCAATCAGACCCTTGCCCGAAAATCAGCATCGGCACGGGGCTCCTGTTTCCACAAAATTCGTGCATTTCCGCGTTATCTTAGCAGTCGTGACTTGTTCGCAAAGAAAGGACTACAACTTGATGTAGCCTTGCAGTGGAGGTTGCAGGATGCCTGTACCCAGCCGGACAGGGGTTTCAATTAAACTGTGTCGCACTGCGGCACCACTTGGAAGCCAATCCCGCTGTGTGCTGTTGAGTCATTTTCATTCGAGAGCCGTCGCGCTGCGTCGACTCGATGGACTTCATGACCATCCTGGAGGAAACCGTCCCGGATGGCTGCACGCCAAGGATTGTCTTGATAGGGTTGCCACAGGAAAACCCTCTGCAGAGCTCTTGCAGGCGTGCAGGGCATTTGCCTCGTTGCGGCAATGACGATCGGGTGGCCTGGCAGCACTAGCAGCAGTCTTCCAATTTGTCTTAGCAGGTGTAGCAGGCAAATTTTGTCTCGCCGCGCATTCGAGGTACTTGGTGGGATACATGCAGGGAATGACAGGTGTGCTTCCCTGTCTGCCTGGAGAGAGCAGCTTGAAGCATGGTCGCAAATTGTGGTGCCTTGTTTCGGCGGTACCAGTGTCTGGCTCTGAGGACGCCGTCTTCAACTTCAGAATTCTCAATGACGACTGGCGGGGAAGACCAGGAAGGTCCTTCGAATTGGATGGAAGGTATTCAAGCAGAAGCAAAGGCCCTTCATGATGGCAGAAGCCTGCTACATTAAACGAAACAATGAGTAGTTTGATCTGTAGGCGCGTGGCGGCCAGGAGCGAGGGCTGCCGCATTACTCCCACTGGTTCCATCATCAGTCCCATGCTTCTTCGGGATGAATGGTTTCGAGTTTCGGCTGATTTTCTCGGGAGCGTTGGAGTATGTTGGAGTGTGTGTGTGTTGCCCATGCAATGCCAGGACGGCGCTTCTGCACTTCCAGAGGGCCATGAGGGCCATGTGCAGCCTGCAAGCTCGTCAGGCAGAGCCATGTTGCCCAAACACGGAGTAGCGTGTTCCCACCGAAAGCATCGATCGCCAAGCTCTGAGATGATGGGAAGTTGTCGAGTCACAAGAAGTGCTCCAAGTCGGGAGCTCATTGAGGTTTGCAGCAGTTGCAATTCGACCCAAGCTCTTTCAAGCCAGGTTCCAACATGTTGATTTGCCAGCTGACGTTGGCACCTCAGACTGAAGAAGCGTTGCTTGGCTGCTTGGGGGTACCAACTAAGCCAAAAAACATTTAGCCACTAGGCACAAGCATTGCTTTGTGTAGAGGTTGTTGCGTTCGCTTCAGGGCTGGCCTCCACACGTGCAAGCTGGCTCTGGCGGTGAAGCTTTGTATGGTGCCCAAAGCGGATGAACAGGAGTTTTCAAGCATTTCCGGGGAGATCATGGCATGGGCAAAAATGTGGTTAGTTTCTGCGGCATGTATTCAGTATATACTGCATAACATGAATGGGTACAACACACATCCTCTTGGACGGGTGCGCTGAGCACGAGAGCATTTAGACTTTCAAGTCGATGTGGGTCCTGGCAGAGGTACTGGATGGGCGCAGAGCTTTTTGAGGTGGCGTCTTTGACCGTCAATTGAGAAATGGTCACTTTTCAATCAATGCAGGGAGCATCAGTTTCCACAAGACTGCGCTGGTAAAACATTTGTCGAGCATGGTATGTTCCTGACTCAGACAGGAGCTTCCAGACAGAATGAGGAGTCTGTGGCAGCATCTGCGCTGAGGTTTCGCTCAGGCATTGGCTCGAACATCCACATTTCCGCAGCGCCTCGTTGGCATGTGGGTTTTGTCGGTGGTGATGCTGGTGGTGCTGGCATGCGTGCTTGTGTTGCTGTCAATACCGTAACTGTTGTCAAGCAAGGCAGTGATGGCTTTTGCGCTGGACAGAGGCAGCATCTACCTCTGGCCAGAGGACTGGCCCATGTCAGCTGCTGATAGCTGTAGGCGCAATTTTGAGAGTCTCACTGCCTTTCAGTAGTACGAACATGGGGGCAAGAAAGGAGAACTAAGTCTTTGACCGACTAAAGCTCTGCAACACTTACCAGAAGCTCTAGACTTGATAAACTTGCTTCTCAGGCTATGGCAACAAAATGCTTGGACCCTGATTGGAGGACGACTGGGCAAATCCTTGGACACGAGGAAAGCAGAAAGGCAGCACTGTCGAATGTCCAGGAGGCGTGAAGGCAAACTCTTACGAGTGAGAGCCCGAGCTTGTGGTTGTTTGCCATGAACCTGTGAAGACATGTGAAGTTGACGACGCTGCCAAGATGTTACCTCAAGCCGGTGAGCTCTTGCAAGCCGACGGGACAAGGTCCCAGGCAAGGCATGGGCTGCAAATGCTGTGAGTTTGAGGAAGGCTTGCTGATTCCCTCCCAGCTTGGGTTTTCTCCAGGTTCACCGGTGTAAAGCGTGACCGCGGCAAAGAAGACCTGAGAGGCACCCTGCCAGCCAGTGTTCAGCTGTGTTCTGTCGGCCATGTGAGGCACCGAAATCGTTCCGCGCGTCTTCAAAGAGCTTCTGAAATGCTCTAGGTGCCCCTCGCAACAACATTCCTATCAAGCTGGTTTTTGAGGTCATGCATCAGACGCTGCAGGTACCCGAAGAATTATTGGATCAAGTGGTGGCGTGCGCAGGCTCATTTTCCGCACTCTCGTTGCACTCTTGCCCTGCACTGGGAATTCAGACCGCCGCCTTCCTCGTGCGACCGAGGCAGGCCAGGCTTGAGAAGGATTTTTCAGCATCAATGCAACATATCGGGCCGTCTTTGCAAGACGAGACCATGTAATGCAGTGCGTATGTGTGTGCGCGTAGAACCGCTACCCAGCCATATCGTTAAGAAATGCATTGAAGATCGGCTTACCCGGTCTAGAGGCTAGCAAACACGGCCTGCTATGAATTTGTGTGGGATTCATGGTGGCTTTGGCAGGAGGAACAGCGATTAAGCTGGTTTTAGTTTGGAGGTGTACCCAAAGCAGATGAAGCCATGAGGAGCATTTCTTAGGTGGTTTCCCCCACTCAGTAATAGTGACTATAAGAGATAACAAGGATTATATTCGGGTCCTCTCATATTCCTAATACAACCTAAACCCGAAACCCAAAATCCTGAACCCAACCCTAAACCCAGATCCCTAACCCGGAACCCTAAACCCTAAACCCAACTCCCCGTTATACCACCATTAAAGGGTGTCATGCTGCTGTCCCGGGAGTTCTGCTACCTTGGACGAGCTGGAGACGCTTAGAAAGGAAAGCCTAGTCGGTGAGATGAAGGCGGGAGTATGAGGGGAACAGTAGAATATGGTCTAGACTCCATAAAGGGGGTTATGTAGGGGGTTTATGTAAGGGATTATATAGGATTGAGGGTTCAGGATTTAGGATTTAGGGTCTAATCTAAACTCTATAAAGGGGTTTATATAGGGGAGTATTTGCTTATGAAGGGGGATACCAGGGTTCCTGTCTTGATGGGACTCACAGAATGCCAGGGTGCTGTGATTGGAAGCTATGTGCGCCATGGGGACAAGTACTACGAAGCAGCTTAGCCGGTGGATTGGAAAGGTTCGGCAAGTTTTCCGGTGACCTCCTCGAACATTTACCGGATTCTGCAGGAAGAAGCGTCGGGGATGTTTGGCTGTGGAAAAAATTGCCTTCTAATTAATGCATTTCGAGACCGATTCAGTTTGACCAGAGCTGATGAATGCTTGCCACATGTTCTGACACGTTTTGATCGTCGCATCTGCCAGACAACTGCCCGATGTTTGCTGCCAGACCCAGGCAAAGGAGTATGCATTCAAGGATTATGCCCGAATTTATTCTTGGATTCTGGGCACCGATGCAGAGGCATGTTTGACGTCGATCGTTTGAAGCTGCCTGTGATTTGAATTATGGATTTGCCTGCGTTTTTCCATCCAGGTGGAGCGCCGCTGTCCTGAAGCTTCCAAGATGATTGCTCCCTTCAGGCAGCAGCTGCCGCGTCTGCAAGCTTCACAGAGGCCTGCCGTGACCTGTGATAAGTTCTGGCTTCAGGCATGGGGGCTTCTCCCTGTGTTTGGATTGCGGTGAGGCTGTACCTGGGTTCGGATGACCCGAGCGTGCTGGAGGACATCATTCAGCTAGCGTGTTCTGATGTGATCTTATATGAAGGCATGCATAAATCTTTGAGAAGAGTAAATCGAGTAAGTCAGGCAAACAAAATCTAGTCGACGCTCTTTGACAAAGGCGCACGGTATGTGTTTCCCGAAGGAAGCTTCCCGAACTTTCCATGAGCGGAGGCCTCGCAGTCTCCGATGCGTGTGAATGTGAGCCATACCTTTCAATATGGCCTTTTTTGTGTCTAGCACGTTTAGCATCCGCTCAGGTTGTTACAGCATTTGCCCTAATGCCTCAAAGAGTAAGGGAAGGCGTGCTTGAGACAACATCCAATTTGGAATTGAACTCTTTTCGTTTGCCAGGGCAAAAGCATTTGATATCATGCATGCCCATGACATTTGTCTTCTTTTCAGCATATTGGAAAGCATGCGTACAGGTGTGACGGATGCCTGGTGTACATGAACGTCTCTCGGCTATCGAAGAGGCCTGGACCTTCCTGGCTTGGGCTGGTGCACACCAATCCAGCAATCCTCAACATTGCTTCTGCTTTGTGGGACTTCGGCTTTGCGGGTTTGAAACGTTGATGACCGTAATCGGAACGCTCAAGCAGGGCTTCTCCTGAGCATCCTGAGCAGGCGCCCGTTGATGGAAGTGCAGAAGCTTCTTGGAGCTAAGCAGATTGTCATGGAGTCCTTGTCCTGCTGGCCTGTCGCACGGTCTGCCCAAATTGCCACAAGTGTTGCGCACAGGGCAAGTTCTTCTCTGCGATTGAAAGTTTACCGGTCGCTGAATGAGTGCCAGGTTGAACCTTCAGCTGCTCATGGAAGCAGATGCCTTCATTTGCACATGGACGTCCAACTGGTTCCTAGCTTGAACGTTCTGTGCCAGTCAGCAGTCCCGTTCTGTCATGTCAGGACCAATTTTGCTGGGTGCTTCAACATGAGGTGTCGGCTGGTGGATGAGATGCGCATGACAGTGCCACCCTTGTGACTTGTCTTAAAGCAGTGTCAGGTAGCTGTTCATCAGCCGCTAAGGTGGGCCTCAAGGCGAATCACTTATCCCTAGAGGTGAACAAGTCGGACCCTTGGTTGGAGCTGACCGATTCTGCCTTCAAGCTTCGTGGCTTTGTGTTTGAGGCATTGCCCGCGATTCAATTGGGTCCATGGTGGCGGAGCAGAGACACCAGATTACCGCTGACGTCGCGGGTCCCTCTTCGTAGATTGCAGCATGCATTGAGGCCGAGCTGGACCGGAGAAACAGCGCTGCAACATAGAGAGACCTAATGTGCTTCGACGCGGCTCCAATGTCAGAAACGGGCAGTTTGCGCGCATGGCGGTAGCTGGACCGGAGAGACATCCCCGCAACATGAGAGACATGAGAGCCGGAAGTAGCCAGCCCAGAAGTGGGCTCCACCTGCATGGCATGATTCTGCTTGGACTTTTATGGACCTCCATGGGCATGGCATTGTCAAACATGGCGATGGTACGGGATGGGCTCCCTTGGAGCAGCGCCACCCCTGAGCTTGCAAGCAGAGGATGGATTCGGGACAGGTTCTGAAGGATGCGAGGTCCTGCCATTCGCACTGCCCACACGGAGACATCGTTGTCCAAAGGCTGAGCCTTCTTTAGCATCCTTTAGCAGCTGGTATACTGACACCAAACCTTTTTGCGGAGGCTCTTCGTCAGCTTCGTGCAGATGAAAAAGATCCCTCAAACAGGAATGAAGTGAACACCCTGTGTTGCGTGGAGGTATTGAAGCACCACCTTCTGGCATGTACCCAAACTCTAGGTAGGCGTAGGTTTTTCATTCAGGTTGCCGCGCATGTTGCTCGTACGTCCGCAGCAGCTTCTGGGCCCTTTTCAGCCACAAGCGGCTAATCTTGTAGTTCATAGCCGGTGGCCGCAGCATGATGCAGAGCACGCGTCGTGGAAGGCACACAGCCAAGCCACCGAAGCCACGTGCTTTGGCTTTTCCCCTCCGAGCTTTGATCGAGAGGATAAATTCCAACGAAGATCCTCCTTGGGCCAGCTATCTCAGTGCCGGAGTTGTCCGTGCCGAACGATCCGCTCGGCAAGAAGAGGAACGAGTGCAAGACACGCTGCCACGACTGCTTGGGTCTCGACGGATAGAGTGCGGGCTCGGAAATCTCAGTAGTGGCGGATGCTGTGGTGGCTCTCGAGTAGACAGCATGGGTATGACGAACCTTACAGGGCGCGTTTGGGAACTGTCTCAGGATTCCAAGGGATGCCGAGATGTTCAGCTTGCGATCGAGCAAGCTACTGATGACTTTCGGCGTGTTCTTGTGGCAGAAGTCGCTGGACATGTACTGGATGCCATGCGATGCCCACACGCAAACCACGTTCTTCAGAAATGCATCACGTCCTCCAGGCCGGCAGTCGGTGACAACTTACTTGGCACCTGAAACCTCAACTTGCTTCAGGAGCGTTTTACGCTCTCAGATCATCTGAGGCCCCCAGACTGCCAGTTCATCATCGACGAGATCATGGCTTGCAGCGGCTTTGTGGAATTGGCCAGGGCCTTGAACAGTCTCTGAGACTCCTGTCACGCTCTCCCGCAGCCGGAGGCTGCTCGCCACAAGTATGGCTGCCGTATCATCCAAAGGCCTGGAACTTCAAGTGAGTGCTTTCTGGATGGTGCCATGTGGCGTATGCATGTCCCAAGGTTGCTAGAACGCTGTTCTCCGGCCCAGGCAGCTGCGTGGGGAGGGCCACTTACACACACTACAGATCTGCTTTTACCTCAACAGGTTGAAAGCGTGGCGGCCGCCATCCTGTCTGATGTTAGTGGAATTGCACGCCATCCGTACGGCAATTATGCTGCACACTTAGACCCTGAAATGGCGCATGGGTGCAGATGCGCGGAGGTGATTCGAGCGCAATGTGCTGCTTGCTGACAGGTCTTGCAGAATTTATTGGAGCATGGTACCCCGGCTCATCGACATAGGCTGGCGCAGGCAGGTGGGACGTAGGGCATGTGATGGTTCTATGCTTATGGCTTGGAGGAGCTCAAGAAGGAGATCGTCCCCATTTGCCAGGACTCCTTTGGGAGTGCAGTAATTGCTGCTGCATTGTCAGGGCCCCTTAAAAGAGGTTTGAGTTGGGGATGCTTTATCCTCCTTCCTTGCGTTGCTGATTGCTTTGCTGATTGCTACACTGAACCGAGGTCCCAGCTTTGTAAAGAGGATGCGATATCCCTGGCACAAGCAATCGTGCAGGACTTCGGGGCTGCTCATGAAACATTCTTATTTCTATTCTTCTTGTTACTACTTGATTTTTATTAGTATTCGTATTATTACTATTAGGACTGCGGGAACTGCGGCATTTGTATGCATTTGTGGAAGGAGCAGGGACTGCTGACCTTCATGGTCAGGGGCTCAGGTAGTGCTCGCATGGGGCGCAGATCCTCAATGGTGGCGCAAAAAGCTGTTGTGGCCCAGGCTCATGCGCGCCACGGTCATGCAGCCGTTCGTCTTCTTTTGCAGGCGAATGGCAAAAAGGGCAAACAAAACCCTTCAGAATGGACTCCTTCCCAGCTTCCGGCTGAGGCCCTGGATGGGTCCGATCTGGCCAAAGCCCGCGAGTTGCTGTGCGCAGAGCTGCCGTCCCTCAAAGTCTCCAGGCCAACCGCTGATTTCAAGTGTCTTAAAGTGACTGAAGCAATGTTGCGGCATTGGCAGGTATGGCAGGATTGTAGCCAGCTGGCTTGATGCAGAGGGCAGAAAATCTGGTGCAGCTCCCCACCCAGACATAATGTTGACATGGTGTCCATTCATTCTCACCATATTCTCACCATGCCTTTCTCGTGAATCTGCGATGGCGATCTGCGAACCCCGAGGCCGTCAGGGCCGCCTGAGGCGACCTGCACGGAAGCTTTCCAACGCAGCAGGCTGAGCGCAAATCCCAAACGGAATTCCAATCCCCAGCAAGGAGGACATACTTATCCTTTGCCCAATCTGTCCCCAGGTTCAGAATGGCTTGGTTGTAGTTGGAGCCCAAAGACAGGGGAATTTGCATCTCGCGCTACGGCCCTGCAAAGTTTTTTGACTGAGGCCTCAACCTTACACAGTTCACGTGTCCTTGCCCTCGCCTTCAACAATAGTATGATGTCTGCAGGCAGGACTTTGGGTAGTGAGTTGCCTGCTACAAGATCAACCTGACCCTGGCAGGTATGGTTCGCACAAAGACGAACTATTCCTGCGGTCTCATGCTATGAGGCATGTGCATGTGACAGGCGTGTTTGCGGTGGATGACAGCTTAAGGGCAATGAGAGTTTTAGCATTTGAGAGATCTTCAGAAGGCTGTTGGATTATCCGTTATGCATGTCTCCTCGGCTTCGCAGCAGCAGCGGCCTTGTTTTTCTGAGTGCTGCTGGCAGCTACCGTCACTGTATCAAACTGAGGCACAAATAATGTTCTGTCTCTGTGCCGGCTGGCTCCTGCCCGTGCGCCCCCTCAGCCACGTTAGAAAAGAACCCCCTGCTCAGAATGTACGTATTTTTTTGGTTAGGCCAGAGGCCCAGAGGCTGGTGGCCGGACGTGCAGATCCCTCAGAAACTTCCAGAAGCGTCCTGTCAGCTTACCGCTTTGGTTTTGGTTCTTCTCCGTTTCAGGTCGCAGTGTCTAGGCAAAGGCCGGTGGGTTTCTACAGCCTTTGGCAGCGCCATGATATGCCAATCTTGTTTCAGAGGTTTTGTGGCTGGCCGCCAGCTGTCTGAAGTCCTTCCGCGACGCGCGGGGCTTGGCTATGCTTTGCTGCTTTGCTCCGCTTCAAAAAGGAGCATGTTAGGAACCTGGTTTTGGATTGGCTGCATCAGGCACTATCTGTACAGACCCTCTCTGGTTGGAAGTGCAATCCTCTGAGAGCACTGCGATGTGCGGCATACATTCTCCCTGCACAGTGTATGATCGTGCATGCCAACCATTTTACGTTAGTTGGAACCACGCATTTCCTTTGTTCATAGCTTGGGTTTGCCTAGTTTTTCCCCTTTGGTTATTGCCCTTGCTTGGTTGCGTGGAACCAACTCTTTTGGACAATGTCTTGTCCAGCTGCAAATTAGGATAGCATGCGGTTCCCCAACTGCATGCCGTCTATGTAGCAGAAGCGCTGACTTGACATTACAGTATATGTACTGAACAAGTGACGATTGCTTCTGCTTTCCACTATAGTCGTTGCATCTGCAATACCTCTCGACACAAAGTCGGGTAGGTATTGAACGCATAGCATACAAGATGTATGACAAGTCATAATGGCATTGTCTGATGCAGGGCAAAAGCCTTGGATGGAGCAAAGCATCTGCAGTAGGAGTGAGGCATCGCAGCTATATGTACTTTCGCCTTTTTGTGTCCCTGCTGGCTCCAGCAAATGGCGGGCTTCGTCCAGTTGTAGCAACAGCCCCTCACATGGGAGTTTTGGACGTCCAGGCTCTGGGTCTTTGCTAAGCAGCTCTGCTTCCTGTAAACAGCAGGAGGTGAACAGCTTTATTTGAATTGCTTTGCATGAAACGGAAACAGCACCCCGCTTCAAGTAAGCCGCACGAAGTTCAAGAAGTGAGGTGTGCAGCTGATTGGAGCGGTGGCTGGGCCGCCCTCGCACCTCCCAGGCAGGAAGACGTGTCATGCTTGGAGAGGTACGGGACCGTAAAGCAATGCTAGAGCTGCTAGCCTTGCAGTTGCAGGCGGCATGAGCACATGCATCCAGATTGTGGAGGGCGTCGTGCCGGGCATTAATCGTCTAGCCACCTGGCTGAGCCTGGCTGTGTGATAGCTCCCTTCCTTCCTTGCGCACCTGACCTGCAGTTTTGGAAATGCCGGTGGGAGGGACACTTGCGTAAGCGTGCGGCAAGTGAGGCCCTCAAAGGCCACATGGAGCAGTTTGGCCAGGCGGTGCACTCGGAACATCTCGGAACCCCAGGATCCCAGGATCACAGGAGGTGTCTTCACTGACTGAGGTGGATCTGGTTCACATGGGAAACCGGCAAAACCCTGAAGAGGAGCCCCCCAAGGCCGGGAGGATCAGAAGGGACCGATAGAGTGGGATCTTTCTGAGCTTCCCGTTCCAAAGGTTCGCTTCTCCACGCCTGAAGCTGCACAGAGGCTAGGATGGCATAGCACCTCTTGACACACTGAAGGCAATCCCTCTCTGCCAGGGCGCTGGAAGCCATAAATGGGGGACAAGTTGTGATAGATGGAATGCTGCTCAAGGCGCTCCAGCAGTCCTGCTTCACATAGGCAGTTTCTGTGGGTTTTTGTGCCAGGCTCAGTACATGCAGGGCAAGGGCAGGGGTCGTGGAGCACCCCCCACTGCTACAGAGCGAAACTTGGAAGTCACCAGCCCGGAGCTTAAAGAATGCTGCCTCGCTGGAGTACAAGCATGGGGCTGCCGCAAGGCCGTGACCTTTTCCTGGAGCGTGAGCGTGCAAGAAATAGGGCTGGTGGAGGCGGTGGAGGCGGGGGGGAGCAGCGACCTGCTACGTCTGGCTGCGGTCATTGAGGGCAGTGCATCATAAGAGCTCTCGACCAGGCGGCGGCAAAGAACGAAGCCGCAGCCGGGATCGCAGCCGTGACCGCCGTCGAAGGCCTGATGGCAGCATGATATTTCTTCAAAAGTAGGCAGCTCCCATTCTTTGGCCAGGCGGAGAAGCAGCGACAGCAGCAGGTCCAAGCGGCGCCGACGCAGCGCAAGCAAAAGTCGTGGCAGGAGAAGATGAGATCCGTGGTGATCCCCTCTGTCAGGATCCCAGAACATCCAGAAGTCCCGAACCTGACTCTCTAAGAATTGGGTGACTGCTTTCAGGCCACCGCCGTCGAAGCGGCCTTACGAAGGTGAGTGCGGAGTAGATGAGGAGCAGCTGCAGAACAGGACCACAGAGAGAAGCCGCGTGAAGGCTGAACTTTATTTGGGTCCCCATAACAGGGATAATAGTATTTTGGGGTTAAATTGGGGTCCCCCTATGTAGGGAACTACCACGTCGGTATGGGAGACGTTCAAATGATTGCATCATTGAATCATCCGTTTCATAAGTCCACGAATCCATTGGGTCACTGCAGCCTGCAGAGTCTCCAAACTCCGCAGACTCCCTTCAACATCAAATCTCCCTAAGCTGAGTTATGAAAGTGATTTGTGGAGAGAAGATCCACTGGGCTGTCGCAAAAACTGCGACAGGGTGCGCTTGAGAGGTTGGGTGCCGCACCAGAGGGGCTAGCAGGTCGGAAAAGCCACACCGCAGATTCACGCCAGCGTCTGCTCTGCTATCGGGCACATCTTTCACTACATAGTGTCTCATGAAGCAAGTGCCCGTTTTCACAGGTGGTGCTTGGATGCTTGTCCCCCCCGCCAGCTTCAAACAAGAGCTGAGCAGAGGATGAAGCTACATGATCAAATGCAACAACAGGTCCTTAGCAGACATGAGTCCTAAAGCATAGCATGCGTAAAAAACTTGACGACTCTAATCAGACTGCCGGGCAGCATGGGCAAAAGCTGAGGAACGACAAGCTTCCAAGGTAGGGTCCAGACCTTCAGGCACCATGGCGGACCTCACAGCGAGGTGCTAGGGCTCCTCGTAGTTTCCTGGATTGATCGTGATTGATCTGACTGTGTCCTGCAGGCAGCGACGTCTTGTGCACATGACGTCCAACATATTCGATGCTGATGGCTCTGACAAGTCCGTGTACTCGGCAAGCAGGCAGAAGGAGCAATGTGGATGTACTTTGCCTGTAATTCTGCTAGCAACCAGTGCTCATGAAGTTGTTTGATTTCCTGCTGGTGAGGAGCTTCAGAACCTCCAGCAGAGCTACGTCCATGGCCCCAGAGTGCCGGAGGCCATGAACTTGCCCAGGCCCCTAAACTCTTTCCCGGCTGGTTCAGCTGTTTTTTCTTGCATCTATCAGTTTGCAGGCCGCAAGAGATGAAGTATGCGCTGATGTCGGGAAACAACGCTGTGCTGCCGGGCAGCAGGTTGCGGTCAGAAAATGCAAATTTTGTGATGCATCTCTTTCCTGGGCAGTATGGTGAATGGCCCTGGCACGAAGCGCGACGCACAGTTCATGCCCAAGGCCCTCTGTACATTGAGTTTCACACGCAGTCTCGTCTCAATGCAACTCTTTAACCAGCTGCTTTGCAGGAGTTCTGGGCGACTTCCGTGGACCTCAAGTGGCATGATGCCAGTGTCCAAGCTCCCACATCAAGAAGGAGGAAGCAGTGAAGCACTGTTCAAAAGCACAGGTGCGGAACGAGCGCTGCCGCCACAAAAGCCATGCCGCTGAGCGTGTCAATTTAGATGCCAAGGCGGGGTTGGAAAATCGTTGCCCCGTTCTGGGCAGATTCGCTGTGGATCTGGAAGACGTCAGGACAAGAAGCTCCGAGAAATGTCTTCCGAGCTGTTTCAGAAGGACACATCCCTGCCAGTCTTCTTGCCCGTTTGGCTTCTTCGATTGCGCCCTGCAGGAGCGTTTGGTCAATCGATCCATGCACAAGTCAGATCTTGTCGCCGCTGAGGACAGCCTGCTCTGTCTGCCCTTGGTCTGTTTTTGTTGGGACTTGCGTAGCCTTTGCCAATCAGACGGACTACCTGACCATCGACTCGTCGCTGCATGAGCAACATGAAAATGGTAGTGCGGCGAGCCTTGGCTTTATCTTCCGATCTTCCGATCTCGACCTTCATGTTTGCAGGAGATTTCACTCCATCATGGAAATCGGTGCAAAGTTGCAAGAGCAACTCTTTGCCTGATCTGAGGATGCCCAGCAGAGCATCTGCAAGCCAAAGGCCACTGAGCTAGATGGTAAATCTGTTTATTTAAGGGCTGCCGCCGCTGC